GAGAGAGAGAGAGAATTTTTAATATTTATTTTTTAGTTCTTGACGGACACAACATCTTTGTTGGTATGTGGTGCTGAGGATCGAACCCGGGTCGCACGCATGCCAGGCAAGCGCGCTACCGCTTGAGCCACATCCCCAGCCCCAGGAAAGTCTCTTTCACAGGTCTGTTTTTTGGGTACTGGGGATTCAATGCAGGGGTGCTTAACCACTAAGTCATATCCTCAACTCATTTTTAAACTTTTGAGATAGGATCTCCCTAAATTGCTGAGGCTGGCTTTGAACCTGTGATCCTCTTGCCTCAGCCTTCCGGGCTGCTGGGATTATAGGCTTGTGTCACAGCAGCTGGCTCCTTCACAGGTCTGAAGGTCAGGGCTCTTTAGACCAGGGGCAGGGGAGACTGGTGTGCCACGGTGAAGAATCCACTAACCACACTCCAGCCGTTGCCAGCAGAGGATGCCACCACGATCCCTGGCACTGGCAGGCAGGGTGGAGCTGCTGTTGTCACCAGGACAGGATCGAGAGGCTCTTCTGTGGCTCCCCCTTGTCTGCAGCCTTGCTGGACATGCCTGCTCATCTGACTGAAGGCTTCCTGACTACCTTAAACTGTAGCCACGGCAAGACCCACGGAGAACAGGGCACTCCAAATGCCCCTGCCCCCTTCGTGGTAGCGAGCAGCGGGGGATGCTTCACTGCCATCAGCCGGCTATGCAGGAGAGGCCAGCTGCCATCCAGCTGCGCAGTCTACCGAAGGAGGTACTTCCACTTCCCTGTCCTCACTATAGACTATCTATCCACCATTCCTGAATATGTGTGCTATTATATAGTCATAGGCTAGAAAAACAGTACATATTTTAACATTTCCCCAAATAACTACAATTTTCAAACCCTTTCATTTACCACCACTTTTTATGAAAAAAACTGCTTTAGACACACATTTTCCCCCATTATAGGTACTCTGTCGAGGCTATTTCCCTTGTTTATAATAAAAAGCACCCACGTATGTAAATTATAACTCAAAAAAGCTTAAAAAAAAAAAAGCACCCATTAGGGGTGAGAGATGGGTAAAGAACCTTCCGAATGGGTAACCTGTGAAGTGAGAAATTCTGGAAAAGGGGTGTGAGAAAGGTGGAGGCACAGAAGCAAGCAAGGCCCTCTCTGGGCAATGAAAGCAGGAAGCTGAGAGGACAATGTGTTCAGGGCCAGACACCAGGAGGCAAACTGCACCTCCATCCCACCAGAGCTCTGTGCACTTGCACAGGCAATTCCGCCTCTCTGAGCCTCCGTTTGCTCATAGAGACCCCACATCACTGAGTTCTGCGAGGACCGAGTGAGTGAAACAGAGGAGGGGTTCACTGCAGCAGTGAGTGAGCGCTGCAAACACAGGGAGCAGAGCTCAGAGGGAGGCGACTGCATATCACACAAGAAGGCTTCAGAGCAGGAGCTTAGACTAAACGGATGGCTGTGGAGGAGCAAAGCATACCTGAATCAGGCGCAGTGGCATATGCTCAGAATCTCTGGAGGCTGAGGCAGGAGGATGACAAGTTTAAGGCCAACCAGGCCAATTTAATGAGACCCTATCTCACAATAAAAAATGAAAAGGTCTGGGGAGGCAGCTCAGTGGCAGAGCGCTTGCCGAGCATGGCAATCCCCAGTACCCTAAAAATACACACAACCCAGATCTAATTCCAGGGGGCACAGGAATGCAGGAAAGGGAGGAGTCCAGAGATAACCATGAGCAATTCCAGACCCAGATCATGAAGGCATGGCAGCACTATAGCAGGAGACTGGGAAGATCTGGATTCTGTGAGAAAATCTGGCTCTTGGGAATTTAATGTGCTGTTGAATAAGGTGAGGGAAGAACTCAACCTCGGGAGGATCAGGGAGCCGGGTCTGGTCTTTACTCCCTAAGGAACACAAGCAATTCATCTCCTCTTACACCTGACATGTTTCCCAGCCACTGGGGCCGTTATTCACACTTAGGTACTAAAAACTTGTCAATCCATGATGACCATCACCTTTCTTCACTGGGAGTGGGAGAATCCAAAGGACAGACGGAAATGTAATTGGGCAGGGTCTGCCAGGAGAAGAACTGAGAAGTGATTGAAATGCCCAACTCAGCAGCCTGAACCCCAGGACCCTGAAAAATGGTCTTGCTCCCTTGGCACTAACCTGGTCATCAGCAATGGCTTTAGCAAACCGGGCACAGTCCAGCTGCAAGTAAATATCTGTCAGCTGGTCCAAAAGCTTCTTTGGTTCAAAGCCATATTTCTCTGGATTTTCAACTTTCAGGTCACGGCACTTTGGGCCACAGAGTTGCTGAAGATTGAAGTTCAGCATTGCAGCCAATCGGGGTCCAAGTTCCTAGGAAATCACAGGATGATACAACAATTAATGCTGTTGAGATAAGTGAGAAGGACCAAAAACTCCTACTTCAGTGGCTGGTTTAGCCCTCAAAGACTCTCTTAAGTGTGCTGCGTGGCACATGCTAAAGAAGTTTAGCTTTACATTCATATGTCTTTAATTCCCATTTCTTATATGAAAATTCTGGTAATTAATGGAATGTTGAGGGCTGATGACAAATACCAAAAAAAGTCTTCTCTTTAAATTCATGCTTTTAATTATGAAAATAAGAAACACTCCAAATTCAGAAAGCCTGGTGTGGTGGTACACAACTGTAATCCCAGCAACCTGGGAAGCTGAGGCAGGAGGATCACAAGTTTAAACTCAGACTTAGCAATTCAGTGAGGCACTAGGCAACTTAGTAAGATCCTGTCTCCACAAAAATAAATAAATAAATAGGAAACAAACAAAAACAACTTATTTGTGGTTCTAATTAGTCTTTGGCTGCTGCTGCTGCTGCTGCTTCTCCTTCCTTTTTTGGGGTTTTGGGGATGAAACTCAGGGCCTCTTGCATGCTAAGCATATTCTCTACTCTTTAGCGACATCCCACGGAGTTTGTGGCTTCTTTTTATTTTTTAAAATTTATTTATTTATTTTTGGGCTACTGGGGACTGAATCAGGGGTGCTCCACCACTGAGCTACATCTCAGCCCTTTTTAAGTTTTGAGACAGTGTCTCACTAAATTGCCAAGGATAGCCTCAAACTTGCAGTCTTCCTGCTTCTTCTGCCTGAGTCACTGTGATTACAAACGTGCACCACTGCATCCAGCTCTTCGGCTTCTTGAATGTGACAAAGCTATATCTACAAGAACCAAAGAACTTACATATTATCAATGATTCTACTTAATGTATTCCAATTTTACGTTACCTAACATTTTCCTACACAAAGAGTAATCAATAATGATAAAAATGTCATAACTTCAGTACCAACAAACCAATGTACTGTCTAAGCAGAAAGTGAACAAAGTCACCTTGGAATCATTTGCAGAAGGTGTAGTAACATCAAAGATCTTCACTAGAGTCTAACAGCAGGGTATCTGTGTGTATCAATTAACATAAATGGGAATAAAATCAGCAACAGAACTTCATGTATTGGTGACTGTGATGCTAACATTTCCAGAATTTCAACAACTGCAACAAGTTTTAAGTGCTAAGGTCTGGATGTGGGGGCCAACAGATAAAAACAAACACCCCACAGCTTCTACTCACTGGTCTGAGGAACGGCTTCTGGACCTGCTTCGTGAGGATATGGAACATGTCCACGGTTTCTGTCGCCAGGGCCAGATAAGAGCGTGAAACACGCTCATCCTGAGCAAGCTGAGACTGCCGGGCCTGCTGCTGATCCTAGGAAACATCAAGCAGGTGCCAAAAAAATCTCAGAACCAGTCATCAGCTCACTAACACGCCAAGTGCAAAGGAAAAACACAGTCATCTCATAACTGGAAAAGTGGCTGCAGAGCCAACATGCTCAGGGGTAAGGTAACAACCCCCACCCCCACCCCCAGCAAACTGCAGAGAGCTGAGGTGGACTCCTCTCAGTGTAACAACCATACAGGTGGCCTGGGGACTTTTTTGCTTAGTGCTGGGGATCAACCCAGGGCTGTGTGTGCTAAGGATGGGTTCTACCACAGAGCTCCTCCTCAAACTTGGCACTTTCCTTAACTCTCTTGAGTTTCCTCTGTTTTCTCAATGATAAAAAAAGTGTCTCAATTTCCATGGAGGATGAGTTAAGTGACTATAACATGGCACCTGGTACAAACTGGTGCTATAAAAGGGTAGTTCATTTCTCTCTCTCTTTTTTTTTTTTTTTTTTGAAGGAGAGAGAGAGAGAGAGACAGAGAAAGAGAATCATTTTTGGAGATGGACACAACACAATGCCTTTATTTTTTTTATGTGGTGCTGAGAATCGA